GCCACTCTGCCTGCTTGTGCGTGTGCTTTTGCTCTCTCTCTCGCTCTCTCTCTCTGACAAATAAATAAATAATCTTTTTTAAAAAAAATGGGCAAGAGGGGCACCTGGGTGGCTCAGTCGGTTAAGTGTCTGCCTTCCACTCAGGCCATGATCTCAGGGTCCTGGGATCGAGGCCCGTGGCAGGCTCCCTGCTCAGTGGGGAGTCTGCTTCTCCCTCTCCCTCTGTGCTCTCTCTCTTGCTTGCTCCTCAAATAAATTTAAAAAATCTTAAAAATAAAAATAAAAATGGGTGAAGAATTTTAAGACATTTCTCTAAAGAAGATATACAAATGGGCAGTATACACAAGATGTTCAACATCAGCAGTCACAGCAGAAAGGCAAAATCAAACCAAGAGGTATCACTTCAAACCCTCTAATATGGCCATAAGAAAATAAAAAAGGAAAGTAACAAGTGTTTTTGAGTATGCAGAGAAATTGGAACTCTCACACACTGCCAGCAGGAATGTTAAGATTGCGACTGTGGAAAAGTTTGGCAGTTCCTCAAAAACAAGTTAAACAGAGAGTTATAAAAAGATCCAGCAATTCCACTCCTAAGTATATATTCGAGAGAAGTGAAAACATAGTTTCACGGAAAAACTTGCATGTGAATGTTCATGGCAACATTACTTATAATAGTCAAAATGTTCATCAACTGATGAATGGATAAACAAAATATGGTATAACCATACAAAAGGATGGCTAAGAATAATCCATCCTATCAAAAAAAAAAGGGGGGGGAATGAAGTACCAATACATACTCCATTGCAGATGAAGCTTGAAAGCAATATGCTAAGTGAAAGAAACCAGTCACAAAAGACCATATATTTTATGACACCATTTATATAAAATAACCAGAAACAGCAAATCCAAGAGATACAGAAAGACTGGTAGTTGCCAGGTGCTGGGGAAGGGAGGAGGAGAGAGTAACTGACTGCTAAAGGATCCAGGTTTCTTTGGGTGTGATAAAAATGCTCTGCCGTTAATACAGTAGTAATGGTTCCAAACCTCATGAATACAGTAAAAATTACTACATAAAAATTACTAAATTGCTAATTACTAAATTAGCACTTTTTTAAAAGGGTGAATTTCATGGTATGTGAATTATATCTCCAAAAAAAGTATTTTCTAATTTTGAAAACACAAACCTATATTATGTGAATTTTAGTTAAAACGAAACTGAAGAGAGAGGCCTGGGTGGCTTAGTCAGGTGTGGAACTCTTGATCTCATCTCCGGTCTTGATCTCAGGGTCTCGAGTTCCGGCCCTGTGTTGGGCTCCATGGTGGGCATGGAGCCTACTTCAAAAAACAAACAACACACCAAAAAACTCAAACAAATGGAAGAGCACTCTGCATACCCGCTCTTGGGCTCTTGTGTCAGTGTATCCTTCCACCATGGCGGTGGCAGGCCGCCACCACCACCAGGCCCGCCACTGCAACAACCAGATCGTCACCAAGTTCTGGGAGGTCATCAGACTAGCAGGGCAGTGACATTACAGGCATTTACCACCACGACAGCGACCTGTAGCTGGAGTGGATAAACCTGTACTACAACCAGGCCAATGGTGGCAAGTACACTTCCCTTGCTGTGCTCGTGGGCCTAGAGCTGGGCACCATAGACTGTGTGCACTTGGGACACTTTGGGCAAATCTTCAGTCCAGGCAACTTGGTCTTACGTCAAAGTGGTGCTGGGAACACCTGGGCCAAGGCACACTACACAAGACGGTACAGGGCTGGTCGCCTGGGTGCTGGATATAATGAGGAAGGAAGCTGAAAGCTGTGACTGAGTGAGTACAAGGCTTCCAGAGAACCCACTCCCTGGGTTGAGGGCCTGGGTCTGGGATGGGTACCCTCCTCGTCCACAAGATCTAGGAGTACTAAGACAGGATCATGAACACATTCAGTGTGTGGTGCCCTTGTCCAAGGTGTCAGACACAGTGGTAGAACCCTACAAGGTCACCCTCCCAGTCCAACAGCTGGTAAAAAAAAAAACAAAAACACAAATTAAACCTACTGCATTGATAATGAGACCCCTATAACATCTGCTTCAGAACCCTAAAATTGACCACACCCACCAATGGTGACCTCAACTGCCTGGTGTCAGCCATCATGAATGGGGTCACTACCTGCCTGGGCTTTCCTGGCCAGCTCAATGCTGACCTGTTCAAGCTAGCTGTCAACATGGTCCTCTTTCCTCACCTGCACTTCTTCATGCCCAGCTTCGCCCCAATGACCAGTGGAGACAGCCACAGTACTAGGCTCTGACGGTGCCAGACCTCACCCAGCAGATATCTGATGCCAAGAATAAGATGGCAGCCTGTGACCCCTGCCACAGCCACTCCCTGACTATGGCCCCAGGGTCCGAGGGCTCCATGAAGGTGGATGAACAGATTTTTTAACATCTCAAACAAGAAGAGCAGCAACTTGGTGGAGTGGATCCCCAACCACAGAAGAACAGCTGGGACCTCCCACCCTAGGAGCATGTCTGCCACCTTCATCAGCAATAGCACGGCCACTCAGGAGCTGTTCAAGCATATCTCAGAGCAGTTCACAGCCAAGCTCTGGTGCAAGCCCTCCCTGCACTGGTATACAGACAAGGGCATGGACGAGATGGACTTCACCAAGGCTGAGAGCAACAAAAATGACCTGGTGTCTGACTACCAGCAGGACCAGGACACCACAGCCGAGGAGGAGGGTGAGTCTGAGCAGGAGGCAGAGGAAGAAGTGGCCTAGAGCTGCCAGCCAGTAAAGCACAGAAGCTGTGTGAGCTCTTTAGCCATGTTTCTGTGCACACTTGCTCTTGTTCTTATTGTGACGTTGCGTAAGACGCCACCTTTAAAGCATTTTTATGGGGGGTGGGAACCCTGAAAATTTACTGCTCCAAATCATCATTCTCTTGCTAAATCAATGTCTATGCCCCTTAATGTGAAAGAATGGTCTTCATCCCACCAGTATCCTCAGGGCTTACCATGGAACACATACTTGCAAATGGACAAAAATAAGGAAAAATAACACACTGAATTGCAAACTAATTCCAGTAAAAAAAAATCCTTCATATTCTCCCCTACTGATCAGAAGAATATTAGGATCCAGAAATCAAAATAGTTTGGCTAACGACCTATTTTAAAAGCTGAGCATAAGCACATTAATTTAAATTTTTCCACTTCAAGAGCTTCCCTAAAGATAATTTTAAAAATAAACCATCAGAATTAGACTTCCCCCAACAATATGTCTCATGTCAGAAGAAAAAATTAAATGCAAATCCTCTTAATACCAAAATGAAAACACGATTAAAAGTCAAAATTCACCAAAGCAAAAGAAATCAGAATAATGCCTTAAAAAGTCAATGCAGTAACAGATGAAAACTCTAATACCACAGCAAATCCCCTTAGAAAATGCCATCAGTTTATTTTTTTTTTAAAGATTTTATTTGTTTATTTGACAGAGAGAGATCACAAGTAGACAGAGAGGCAGGCAGAGAGAGAGAGAGAGAGAGGGAAGCAGGCCGAGAGCACCCACTGCAAAATACATAGCACACTGTGTAAGAAACTGGTCTACACATGCTTGCTAAATAATGTTTAACAGGTTCTTAAATATGTATACTCATCAAATAAAAGTATTCTAAGAAGCTCTGCTATTAATCAGAGCTAACCACTGCATCTATTTCCATTGGACAGTTACCACAGAGTCTAAAATGACTACAGAATACACATAGGATTTTAGAGTCTAGAACATCTGGGTGTGACTCTCACCTATGCTACTTAATAGCTGAATGACTCTGGGCAAATTACTTAATTAATCTCTCTGGGCCTCAACTTTTGCATCTGTAAAATGGGGATAATATAATCTCAACCTTGCAAGGTTATCATGAGGACTTAAAATAATATACTGGAAACTGAGCACAGTACCAAGCATGTCATTTGCTTCCAATAGAAGGTTATTACCCTAAGACTGTTCTACCCTTAGACCATAAGCTCCTTGAAGGGTACTAGTTTCTTCCGGCACCTGCAGGAAACGAGCCCATACTACTATATGGAATCAGCCTAGACTGGCCTTATAAACTATTATTTCTGCCAAGCAGTGGTTTCGGAAGCCCAACCACTCATAGTAGGTGTGGTCTGTACACAGTCCACTACTCTAAGTCCTGAACTTCTGGGGCCTATGCCACTGCACTGCCCAGGCTAAACTTCTGTTTTTATTCTTATTGTTCTCTCTGGTTTCCTTTCAGGACTGGAGTCTGGAACCCTGACTGCCCCTTTCTTAGGGAATGGATCCTACTCCATCATTTCCAAATATCTGGCCTAAGACCCCACCTACATCACCTTCAACCTAGATGAATATTTATGAAACCACATCTAGTCACTTGCAGATCTGACATCAAGAACAAAGTGTGTCCCAAAGTCTCCTGGCTTTCATCATACCCAATGTCTCCTACCGTGAATCACCATCATGCTAGATGGGATCTGAATTCACTATATCCCCACAGATGGAGTGGTCTGGAATGCAGGTGGCATGAGGTTCATTGAGACAATTGCTGGGGCCCTTTTATAAGTTTAATTCTATAAAGTTGAACTTATTCTTTCTATAGATCTGCCCAGCAGCTATCTACCTAACACCAAAATATGAAGTATGCAGATTTAAGGCAAAGTCAATATATCTGCTAAATCAGCCTCTGCTGAGACATTTCAGTCATGGCAGGAAAGCTGAGAAAATGGTGGTAAGAGTAGAGAGACAGGGAAAATAAGCTGGTCTGATTAGTGATTTTCTGCTGATTTGTACCTTTTACTACATCATTTCCCATATGAGTAAGATTTATTATCTCAAAAGAAAATGTGCTTGTTTTTAAAAATTAGCTGTACTTTTTACTAATCAGTACAATCCTAAGGAATACATCAAAAGAAAGTAACGAAAAGAACCTAATTTCCATAAAGCAGCCAGCAATTAACATGGTAAATTGGACTTACTCTTCCAGGAACCAAGGGGATAGTAGCTTCAGCCTTGGTTCTCTCAGCTTCATCGTAGCTGGGCAGCGTTGTCGCCACATTATAGGAAGGAGGCTTTGGAAATCCACACTCATCTTTGTAGTCAAAATATGCTGCAGAATAAAAAGGAAGTCACCATTATCTGACCATTAGCTGACCTGAGGAAAAAGAAGATTTCCACTAAGTCTGGCAAACAAAAAAACAGCCATTCCTCTTAGAGTACATATAGAATAATTGACTTGAGGGTGCCTGGGTGGCTTAGTCATCAGGCGTCTGCCTTCGGCTCGGGTCGTGATGCCAGGGTCCTAGGATCGAGCCCCACACTGTGCTCCCTGCTCTGTGGGAAGCCTGCTTCTCCCTCTCCTACTCCCCCTGCTTGTGTTCCCTCTCTCGCTATGTCTCCCTCTGTCAAATAAATAAAATATTTTAAAAAAGGAATAATTTAATTGAAATGTTTATGTATGAATATGAGATTGAGAATGATTTTTAAATTCATCCACCTTTCAATTATTTAAATTTATTCACGTAAATCACTCTGCCTTCCTTTCCAAATGTCCTGCTTAGATACTGGTATTTGTGGGCCTTTCCCCAGCTATATTTAAGTGCTTATACTGTAGGAGTATTCCCTTATTCAAAGTTTTCTACCCACCCACTGCAAAATACATAGCACACTGTGTAAGAAACTGGTCTACACATGCTTGCTAAATAATGTTTAACAGGTTCTTAAATATGTATACTCATCAAATAAAAGTATTCTAAGAAGCTCTGCTATTAATCAGAGCTAACCACTGCATCTATTTCCATTGGACAGTTACCACAGAGTCTAAAATGACTACAGAATACACATAGGATTTTAGAGTCTAGAATATCTGGACTAGAATAACACTTTTTCAATTGTTACATGTACGTTCAAAAAAGCATTTAATATTAATAGTGGCATAAAGACAACATTTAAGCCAAAAATACCTCACCTCTCTATGTGCAAGCTGTACCATGGTTTCCTCCCACTTATAAACAGGTAAACAAACTTAATAAAAAAGTCACAGTGTGGGCGCCTGGATGGCTCAGTCCTTAAGAGTCTGCCTTCGGCCCAGGTCATGATCCCAGGGTCCTGGGATCAAGCCCAGCATGGGGCTACCTGCTCAGCAGCAAGCCTGCTTCTCCCTCTCCCACTCCCCCTCTTCATGTTCCCTCTCTCGCTGTGTCTCTTTCTGTCAAATAAATAAAACCTTTAAAAAATAAAAAAAAAAAAGATAAAATAAAAATGTCAAAAACCAATGCCTTTAAAAAAAAAGTCACAATATTTTAGCATATTGATTCTTACACATTTGTTTTACCATGTACTGGTTTGTATGATGGGCCTAAGGTAACTAATACAGTTACAAAGCCATTATTTATTTGAATTAAATCTTTTATTTTCTCTTTTTAATGCTGCATCTTCATTCTCATTAACTGCTATTATAAGAAACTCAATATTTATTAGAAAAGAGCTATTAAAATGTATTAAATTTCTGCACAATTTTTTAAAAACAAACATCTTGAGGAAAAAATGTCTTATAGTTCATCAAGATTAACATTTTTCTTTTTTTCCTCTGGTTAATTGTAATAAACTTCCAATTTTACTGTAATATATTACTGAAATCATGAATCAATACAATTCACCTCATTAACAATGTGAAGAAAATTCTATTGCATTTGCACAGGCAGAAAAAGCATTTTATAAAATTCAACACGTTGCCAGTAATAAAAACCCTCAGCAAATTAGGAATAAGAGAAAATATCTTTAATCTGATCATAAGTATCTATGAAAAACCTAAGTAAATATTATAATTGTAAATGTTTAAGTTTTTTCCCCTAAAATTGGAGATTTTAGACAAAAATGTCCCTAAACTTAGAGATTTAGACAAAAATGTCTTAACATTACCTTAAAGGTCCTACTAGTTGATGTAATATGGCAAGAAAAGGAAATTCAAAACATAAGTATTAGAAGGGACAAAATAACTGTCCTTAATCATGGATGACACAATTATAGATATATCAAATCCAAGAGTATCTACAGACAGAATTAATATATGAATTTATTAGCAAAGACTCTACATACAAAGTCTCTGGATGGATATAAACCATCAATGGTACTTCCATTTGCCAGCAACAAATAGAAAATAAAATCATATATGGAACATTTTTTACAACAGGATGAGGAATAAATCCAGTAATAAATATGCAGGTCCCCAATATTGAAACCCACAAAAAACTATTGAGAGGATTAAAGAAGATCTTAATTAGATGGAGAGATATGTCATGTTTACAAACTGGAAGCAGTATTATAAAGATGTTAATTCTCTTCAAACTGACCCCCAGATTCAGGACAATTTCAACTACAATTCCAGTTTTTGTTTGTTTTGTTACATTGTACAGAAATTGACAAGCTAATTGTAAAATGTATATGGAAATGCAAAGGCCAAGAAAAACCAAAGCAATCTTGAAAAACAAAAAGTCTGAATGACCTATATTACCAGATATAATTAAAACGGTAGGGGATGGGCATAAAGATAAATAAATAGACCAAAGAACAGTATACTGAGTCCAGAAACAGATCCACTCATATATGGCCACCTGATTTACAATAAAGGTGACACTATGAAGCAGTGGAGAAAGAACAGTGTTTTCAATAAACGGTAATGTAAGAACTGGCTATCCATACAGAAAAACAAATTGATCTTGACCACTACCTTACAGTACACAGAGAAAAACAATACCAGATGGAATAGAAATCTAAACGTGAAAAATAAAATACCACAGCTTTTAGAAAATATACGAAAATGTGTTACTGAAACTAAAGAGGCCACCTAATCCAAATGAAAGAATTTGTTTTTTTCCAAGTCAAATTGCTATTTTACATACATGCATACACATGTATATATACATGGTACAAACCAATGCATCATTTTCTATCAAGTCTCTTTATTTTTCATCAAATCAAACTAAGTCATTACAACTTGAAATGTACAATATAAATTAGCCCACTGCCATTAATTCTGAATACATGAATAAAACTGATACCTACCACTATCTTAAGTTGAAGAAAATCAACATGTGTATTTCCCTATTTCAAAAGATTTCTTAAATGGGATCCATCAATATAGATACTCATATACTTTTAAGTTTCAATCAAAAGTCTAACGACAATCTTTCAAGTTTATGTAATACATTCAGAACAATCAAAAAAACCCAATACTTCTTAGACTGTTCAACTTAATATACCACAAATTAAAATAGGTAGTTATGCAAAATAATTTGTGCTTTTTTCCCTACCAATATGCATGTGTCTTTTTGTTTCTAACCACTTTTCTCATAAATGGACTAATTGGTACCTACAGTCAGCATTTATCTAAAAATAAATAAGCAATGTTAATTTAACAACAAGGAGTGGGTAAGGCCATTTAAGCCATTTTAGAGCTTTCCTTAAAAAGTACTAGTTTTAGATGCTTTTAAATAAAATTAATACAAGGAGACAGGGTTCAAAGGTTGAAGTCAGAGTGGAGGCAAAAAACTTCGTGACCCACGTTCTTCTTCATTATAATGGCAGAGACCAACAGGGACCAACAAACTTAATCCCACATCAACTGACAATAGCTGCCCCAAGTGCTGTATTGAAAAGGATTCTGAGCCTGTGTCTGGGATAAATGGTGTCTTCAACTTGCTTATCTACCCTGGGAGGAGGATGGGTTCAGTGGAAGCACCATGGGCCATATACTTGACACTCTGCCACACTTCTCCTTTAGAGAAAATGGAAGATGGCCCATCACAACCGGTCAATTTTCAGCAACTAAAGCAGCGCTGCTCATCAGGCAGCTTGAAGCTACCCAAAGATCTCAACTGTTGGTATTTTTTCTTTCTCTTCCCCATCCCTTCTACATAAACATGTGAAAATGTAAAAGACAGTCTGGCATAAGATGTGAAGATGAAAGACTGTTTAAGGAGGGCTTAAACTATGAGGAACACCATGAAAGAGCTGAGAGACTTCCAGGCTTTTTTTATTAAGAATTTACTAGCACAAAAAAAAAAACAAATGTACTATGTTCCAGGTCCCAGGTCGCAGGCACTAGAATCACAAAGAACAAAACAATAAGGAAGCTACGGAAAGAATAAAAATCAGATGATCACCTGGTTGCTCAATTTCTTCCTTTATATTCTGTTGGAATGAAATTGAGTTCCATAAAAAAAGCCACACTGAAATGGAGTTTTAAGTGTTTTTCAGAATAGTAACATGAGTTTTTTTTCACTTTTGGCAATAAACTACAAAAAACATCAAAGACTTTTTAGGGAAAGCTAAAGCAAAGACAAAGACAAGTAAACACATGCTGGCCGAGCCTCTGGCCAAGTGCATTTCGAGAGTCTAAGAGTTCCTTTGCCAGTTACCTACCTGCGCTCTCTGCAGAGATGCTGCTGTAAGGTGGAGGGGCGTCGCCTCCAGCCTGTTCTGGCTCTCCAGGCTCTTCCTCATTCTGCAACTAAATAAAGATTCCACATTTTAATCCAAGTAAAAGCCGATTAGACAGAGAAGAACCTGAAAACTAGAAGAGCCCTTCTGGAAAACTATTTGGTAGCATGTTTCAAAAGGCTTAAAATGTGTAACTGCTTTACACAGTATTCTGCTCTCAGGAATTTATCCTAAAGAAATAGAGGCAAAAAAAGTAGATATAAAAGTTACTGCAACAAAAAATAGAAACAACCTAAATTCCACCCACAGGGGACTTATTAAAGAAATTATAGTTTATCTCACAAATGATCACTAAGCATCCATAAAAATGAAAATAAAGAAAATGGGATGGCTTGAACAGATATTTATGCTGTATTGTTACATGAAAAAAGCAAAATTTACCAAATAGTATGCATAATATACTCTGGCTTTGAAAGACCGATATGTGAAGGTCTAGAATGAGAGACATCTACAGTTTACAATGTTTACCTCTAGCTGATACAATCATAGGGAATTTTATTTTGTTGTTTATATGTGTATTTGAATTTTTTGTAGTGAACACTTAGCACTTGTGTAACTTTTTAAGTTGGAAAAATAATCCAATAATAATCTGTTAAAGATAAATCACAACAAACCAAGGTGTGCCACTATATTCAGTTTGCACAGAGAAATTGAATCTTAAAATAACTGAGACACTTACGAAAACATAAAATTCAACATAATTCTACATATATAACCTCTGTTAACAAATCTCCCTCTTCCCTATCTCAGCCATTTTCTCGGTCAAATCTACAGCCCCAGTTACTTTAAATAACTCACACTAAAAGTGTGTCTTTCTGCAATTGCCAGTCTGTATAGTCTACCCAACTCATCTTCACAGAACAAAAACATCTGATTTAACTTTTCTAGTGTGACAATTAACTACAGCTCTTTAAAAAGGTTAACTGGGGGGTGCCTGGATGGCTCAGGGGGTTGGGCCTCTGACTTCGGCTCGGGTCTTGGTCCCGGGGTCCTGGGATGGAGCCCTGCGTTGGGCTCTCTGCTCTGCGGGGAGGCTGCTTCCCACCCCCCCCACCCCTCCACCTGCTGCTCTGCCTACTTGTGATCTCTCTCTGTCAAGTTAATAAATAAAATCTTTAAAAAAAAAAAAGGTTAATTGGCTGAGAATGGGAGTCCATCTGTAAGTAATAAGAGTATTTATCGACATAAATAACTTGGGGGTCTGGGTCCTGCCATATGCCATCATAATACACAGAGCCACAGAGCCGCTTGTAAAATACACACCTCCCTTAAACTGACTGCTACAGACAACTCTACCTTGAACTGAGACAGGAAGACAGAGAGCTAGACCTCCTGTAACATGAAGCAGAGCTCCCTAATTCCTTAAATTTTTAATTAACCATCTCAGTCTCTATCCCTATGCTATTCAAAATCAGAAACCAACAAAATTTTTCTGATGAACACGGCAATGTACTGAATTTCAAAGGAATTCTTGTGCCAAATTATCATCAACATCTACCACCTGAGCACATTTTTCTGAACCCTAGAACTCTAATGCTAAACTTAAGGCACTCCCAAAATAACTGTACTGTAACCTAAGATAAATTTCCTCTTAAAGAGGCATATAGTGCAAAATAGCTACAGTAAAGCCACATGTTCCTGGGACACCAAATCAGTTAATTATTTAAATAGAGTTCCTGGAGCCATGGTTTACTTGTAATTCTTTCAACATTATAAGAAGCTCCAGACAGGGTATTCTCAGCCTACTCCCACCTAACTACTCTTGTGCTCTGAGAATGTCACAGAAGAGTCAGCAGCAAAAACAGAGGCAAATACGGACTTTACAAGAATCCTACCTCAATATACTGCAGCCAGTCATGTTCTTTATCTAAACCAAGCCTGGAATTTTTGACCCATTTTAGATTTCCTGAGCTTGGTCAAATAATCATGTTACCTCTGCATAATTTAGGGTTTAGAAAGGAAGTGTGACAATTCTGAGAAATACAGAAGTCCAGAGAATAAAGAGTTCTTATGTGCCAGCATCTATGAGATAGGTTGCCTGTCTCCTAGCAACCTGGAGATGTGCAATTTGATCATCCCACGCCAAGGTAAGAGATAACAGAGCAAGAAATTCCAACTGTCTCAGAAACCCCCATTTTCTCTTCGGTGAGGGAAAAAAACATTTCCAGGTCAAGTTTTTTCCCTCCATTAAACTTCAACACTTTAGAATCATGTACTATTTCTTTAACTGAAAACAAAAACAAAGATGATTAAAAAAAAAAAAAGCCACCCACTATGACTCTGGAGGTTCCACATACTGGGATGATCCCAGGACCTCACTTTACAGGCTTCCCAACAATGCCCTATTTTCTACATGCTGGTTATAAGTTTAGGTTCCACCAAGAAATGTGTTGAAATAAGATACTACCAGGTGGGGGAGAAAAGAAAGAGGCACAACCTGCAGCAAGTATCTAGTGACCACCACCCCTAAGCATACATCTTTTTACACTTGGGGGCCATCTATGGCCATTAATTTGGCTTTGCCATCAAACAAATCAGGTACTCATTAACAAGGCTGGGGGCAGGGGGTTGGCAGAAATGCACACCAGAACTACAGTGGGACATATCTATCTCTAAGGTTATAAAGTTGGTTACTCGGTTTCAAAATGTAATTTTAATGTTCCCTTTTCTGTCCCTGGGAATCTTTCTTGTGCAGTCCTCCTGCCACATCTCTGAGGCTCAGGCTCTCTCTTGAGACTCTCTCAGAGAAATAGGATCATTGTCACTTTGGGGCTGGTGTTGGAAAGATGCCCAGCCTCTCCTGTCAAGAAGGTCGGTGGGAGCATGAGTCCAACCTGTTACAGAATCCTGGCTGTAGGGGACAGTGTGAGAGGCAGGGTTGGAAAGAGGTGAGAACTGCTGCTCTCTCCCTGCTGTGGTCTTAGCTGTGGTAGGTGGGGAGAATCCTTTGATTTTATCTATGACATAATAAATACCCACTGGGGACTGATTTCTTTTCTGCCATGTAACTTTTCTTAACCATTCTGATCAACTTCACTTATCTCTAAGTAAGACTTAAATGGTATTTTTTTTCAAAATAGTAATTAATTACACAATTACCTATGCATGCCATATAAAGTACTGAGTTTAGTAGAAAATCACCTAAAATTACCCAGGTCTCCATCCCTGAAACAGGAATAATCCAATCATCTGAAAATCTGTCTGACCTTTCTCTTCACCACACCCCCACTGTGCTTTCACCCTTACGTTCCTGATTACTGATGTTCCACTCTACACTCTGAGTAGACCCTGTCATGGCTCTCTAGAAGAACCCTAAAACCTTCCCACGTTTCCACTTTGCATATCACAATCTGCTATGGTACCTCTTGGCTTGATCACTTCCAATTTTTTTTATTATTATTTACCTACAAGCAGATGTTAATAATGTCTTGTCCTCTAGATTTAGCCAGTGAAAGACAGCACATCTAAAATAAAGGATGTTACTCCTTACTACATCCCTCTGTGTCTTATCAATACTGTTGCTATTAGAATCAAATACATGACCTTTTACCTAAACAACAGTTTAACGAATCTCCCACACAGAAATCATACATAGCTCTAGTTCTAATAAAAGCAAACTAGATTTTAATAAGTTTAAGGACACTTATACCCTGCAGGTTTAAATTCTTAAATTTGAGTTCCCACCCCAGCAAGAAGGCCTCATCACTCCTCTGTCCTAAGTAGTTCTAAAGATGGTCTTCCATTTAGAAATGAGCTGTTTTTAATCAAGAACAGAGCCAGGACTAGGATAGGCCTAAATTAAGGGCTAACATTTACAACTGTTGGATGGCAGGACCTAAGGCTCTTAAAAGTCATTCTTGGATTCTATTTACTAAGACTGGGAGAACAAAAAACCCTATTAAACAACAAAGAGAAAAACAAAAAATCCATAAAGCCTTATACATGACAAGAGGTACCAAAACATACCTCATAATTCACACAAACACAACAAGCATGTGGAAAATAATGCTGAACTATCCAATAAATCCATAAAGTTACAAGTATTCACACCATTCATGTTTTTTTCTTGGTTGGGTCCTATTTAAACAGCAGGAGATCATGTAAGTTTTAAATCCCTTCTTTAGTTATTAACAATAAGTCTCAAAAAAATCCTGGATAGATGCCTGAACTCTTGCTTTAAATGTTATTTACCACTTATAATTTTAGAGTTAAATCCTAACTCTTTTACCTTATAATGCAATTTTTAAACCTCTCATTACCAACCCACTACTTCTGCATACTTTCTAAATCCCACCAAATGAGACAGTATAATTACCAGAAAGTAAACACACACATCTCCTTAGGTAAACAACCAAGTGTGCATTTTACTCTCATTCAGAAATAAGCAGTCTGTGAGGACTGTGTATTTTCTTTTCTTTTTTTTTAAATAATAACCTTTATTTTGTGGGGCTTTTTTTTTTTAAGATTTTATTTATTTGACGGGGGGGGGGCACAAGCAGGGGGAACAGCAGGCAGAGGGAGAGGGAGAGGAAGAGGGAGAAGCAGGCTCCCCACTGAGCACAGAGCCTGACACAGGGCTCGATTCCAAGACCCTGGGATGAAGACCTGAGCCAAAGGCAGACACTTAAACAACTCAGCCACCCAGATGCCCTGAGAACTGTGTATTTTCTACTGTATATAACCTGTAGGTTTTTAATTGTATACTGAATATAAATTGTGTTATTCTAACATCACCAAATTCTTTACATTCAAGGACAATTCTCTATTATATTGCTTTTAATTACAGGATGACATTTAAAATAAGGTAAATAATTCTGACAGAGAAAAACTCACCAATTAAAAAAAAAATCTAATTTAAAAAGGGCAGGGATGCCTGGGTGGCTCAGTCAGTTAAGCCACTGCCTTTGGCTCAGGTCATGATCCCAGGGTCCTGGGATTGAGTCCTGCATCAGGCTCCTTGCTCAGTGGGAGCCTGCTTCTCTCTCTGCCTCTGCCTGCCACTCTGCCTGC